GAGACGTATGTTGCAATCAGACATGTCATTTCGATAAAAACGGTAGAAATGATTCCTGTGGGCTGTATCTTCTAAGCAAGAAGTTGAGAACCAAGTATGTGAGCGCGATTTAACATTACATTTTCTTGCTGGGATAAAAGCCCCGATGTCAGCAAAGAGGGGACCTCAGAAGCACACTTTTGAACGGGGTAATTAAAATCACATACCAAGGGACGTCTCGAAGGAAATCACGGAACGAGTCCGAACCTGCTCGTTGATAATAGAAATATATTCTGTTAGTAGGAGGTTCTTGAGGTGGGGAAGGAGATGCTAATTGACAGTACGGCATGATCAGAGTTGCCAAGAGGGCAGAGCTGTGTAACGTGACAAGAGTCAGGGATGGAGGTAAAACAGAGACTGAGAAAGGGAAGCGTTACCGTTAGGGTTACTGGGAACGTGTAGGAAATTCAACCACTTACGTGAGTGATTGAGTGATTGAAAAATTAAGATTTTGGTTTCCAGCAAGGTTATTTACAGAGTGTTTAAGCCACATGGTATGGTGGGCGTTAAAGTCACCGAACACGAATATATGCGCAAACGGATGTACAGATATGGCATTGTCTATATTATTGGAAATGCTATCGAGTACACCAGAGTTTTGAGAGGACGGAGAACGATAGAGAAAGAAGAGATAGCTTACTGATTTGAGGAGGGATAGACGGAGACACATATACGAATGGCCTGGATATTCAAGAGAGATTTCCCTAGCCAGCGGGAGATGATCGCGGACATAAACACCCAGGCCCACCGGAGATGCGTGCAGGGATACCCTTTAATGTGCATCATGGCACTGCAAGAACCCCGATATTATGCAACTGTTGATCCGAGCAGCCTCTCCAGACGCTACGCAAGATTTCAGGCTCCTAACTACCAGTCAGGAGCAGCAACCAGATAACTGCCAGCCCAGTACCCACAATATGAAGAGAGGTTGCCATAAACAGTACACATCACAAGGGTTTCACGACAGCACGACTATGGAGGCCAGAGCATAGGAAAGTTCCGGGAACCACTTCATAAGCAAGAAAAAGGGATGTGCGTCTACTCCTGTTCAAGAGAAAGGGAAGAGTACTGACCAGGCGATAAGAAAGCCTATCTACTCATATAAAAATACAACAGCAAAAAGAAAGCAACAAACATCAAGTCCACGAACAACATGCATGTCACCCAAAGTGGAAACTGAAATATCAAGTTTCAACTTAATTTAAGTGCCAACATACACTTCCCGTTGATGACCAACACTCCATGGTCATTGAGTAACTTTGTAATTTTAGTTTATTCCTTTATGTTTAATTTCGCACGTATGACTAGCAAACGTCATGGATATGACTCTTCATTGAGCTGTGGATTAAATAGCAGAGTAGATTGGATTCTAGCCTTGACTAAGAGAGGGAAACCTGAATTATGAAATCTGGAGAATGTAAAAAGAAAATAAATAAATAACGAAAGGAAAGTTTACCCACAACTAAATTTAGAATTTGATAAAAAAAAAAGTGGTAAATCGAATGCCAAAGGAAATAAATGGCTCTGGAAGAGTTTATGTGATTTTACACTTTTAAGAAAAAGAATGGAGCTTGACCAGCCACGAATATGAGTTTTACAGGACTAAAGAGATATAAAACAGAAATAGAAAAATGACTTTAATAAGACGCCTTTTTCTTAAAATTATTTTATCCCAAGCAAGGCGATAAAGCCACTAAGACGCAAGGGGCCGATAGCGTGAAAGAAACGAAGAAAATGTTACTGATATAAAAACAATAAAAATAGACTTATAAATGGCTGCCAAAGAAATGCTAAGGTAGAAAGAAAAATACGAAAAGACACATTCACGAAAATGTGTGATGGAAGGAAAATTTCTTTGGGCGATAACAAAGAAAATGACTACCATGATCGAAAAAGATGCCTGAAAGATGATTTCAAAGTAACTGCAACTCCATATCATGCTGGTATATGATGAGCGAAATCTTAACGAAACTACTTCCGCGGGAAATATATTCCTATCAAGACAGAAAATGTTTTGTTTTGTTTCTTTTTGTTTTACACGACAACCGGATAAACAATCCAACACCTCATCGAATAAATCTGAAGGAATTTGATCCAAGCATTATATGGAAAGCATCCAGACAGCGATATTATATCAATTAGAATAATGGGAATAATTCTTGAGTAGCCTTGTTGTCGATTGATATTTTGTGAACAACCATGCCTTTCTGCTCGGGTCAAAACGGAATGTGTACGAAGAAATAATACCATTAAATATTAATTTATTTATTGTAATTAAAATTACAATGGTGGCACGAGGCCGAAGGATGAGTGAAGAAGGGTTGTTAGTCACTGACTATCGAACACCTAGCTAATCAGATTCACGACCCATTCATTCTTACAATTGGTTCAATCACAAGAATTTATTCGCCGCTGTTCAATACAACATATACCACAATACCGAATAATCACAGGGATCCTACTAAAACAAACATAACATAAAAAAATTATAATATTATAATATACAAATTGTCCTTTTAGTTTTTCCTTTTTTATATATATATATATATATATATATATATATATATATATATATATATATATATATATATATATATAAGAGATCACTGTATTCTGCCGATAACCATAGTCAAGCAGTTCACTCGCTGGAGTCGAGTGACTACTAAATATTATTGACAGGATATTGTTGAGCTATTTAAATATTCCAGAAAATATACTGATTATCTGCATTTACTGGCGAACTGTAGTAATTTATCCCACTTGTCTTTGCTGAAACGTCTGCTTTGGGTGGGAGGAAGCACACTTTAAGTCTATAAAAAGCCAATGATACCCCCCTCTTTCTTAGTCCAAATTTTCAGACGTAGTTTCACATAGATAGGAACGCTACAGCTGAGGCGCCTTCACTCCTTTGGTTTTCTGTTGATTTTGGAAGTCGCTCATTCATACGCAAGTACACACACGTGGTTCACACAAACAAGTACATTTTTCTTATAACTCGTTTAATGTTGTTTTTTTTTCCTGTTTATTACAATCATCTACAAATTAATCTATTTTGTTAATAACATGCATTGTCGTCTGGTTTGTTTGTTTTAAATCGTTTTATTAATTTTACCTGGACTCACATTCATTCCACCAATATTGTTTGCAGAATAAATATTCCAGGAGCTCGTAAATATTTAATACCGAAACTGTTGATTCTCGCAACTTAATAGTGACTAACCTTTACCCAAACTAGTATTCGGCAACACTATAACCAATCCAAAGGCCACTTGCAGAAAATTAAGAAAATTAAAAATTTCTGCAAAAAAGAAATGATTCTAAAAGTAGGGCTATAAAAATTAAGAGAATTGCTCTCACTTCATTTTGTGTTGAACAAACTGACTCTTCTAGTTAAACATTTATAGTTATATATATATATATATATATATATATATATATATATATAGATATAGATATATCCATCTACCTTGGAGCAGATTCTCGTGTTGCGCCCATTTTCATCTTTCTACTACATTACCACTCAATGCTTCATTGGCTAATTGTCGAGTTTCCACGGCTTTTTTATAGATTAAAAATGTTATATTTAACCATGATCTGCCATAACTACCCTTCGCATCTTAATGGGCATGAACTCACAAATAATAAAGATTTAAACTTAGAAGTTACTTTAATATCTAATATTGTGTAAGCGTTAACGATGGAAACTTTAGAAGGAAATTATAAAAGTCAGCACTACTTAAATTCATTCGTCCGCTCGTTAAAAGTTGGTAAGAATGTTTTTAATAATTTTGTTTTAAATTAGAATTTACTAGACCTTCCACATACAACAAAATTTGTCTGAATAGAAAAATATTGAGTTTATTAATGATGATTTGAGTAGGGTCCTGTTTACAATAATTCAGTAAGCGTAGCTTAGATGTGGCATATGGTCGAATGTTTAGAATCACCCAGTGAGTATCGAACTAAGCCATAATTGATCTAGCAAGATAGGTTTACTAACCATTACACCACGTCGAAATGCCCAATGGCCCTATTTCTAATATACAAAATTAAATCGACTCCTGCTTTTTGAAGAGTTATATATATATTTTTTTATTTACAAATGTCAAGCTTGATGGTGTGCTTGCAAATTGTGAAAACGTCATACCTCGGGAATATGCAGTCATTAATGTTAAATGCAATCAGCTGCTATTACAGAATTTAAACTGGAGCCATCACATGAATCTATTTCATAAAAAAAATAGTTGTTAAAATTAATAGTAAAAGTCGGTATATACTGGCATAGTTGGGTATAATTTCAGACCAAGCAATATTATACCCCAGGAAAGGAAGTAAGCTAGCACCAGTCATAATCCAGTGTTTATTCTGAACGAAGTTAAACTCTGGGCAGATTCTGGGTGGCGTTATCATTAAACTAGCATTTTTACATGATTTCAAAATAGATTTACTATTCTCATCTGGAAAGAAATATATATATTGTATTTTGCCCAGATAACCAGATATCCAACACTCAATGCCACTTAAACTAAATCCGTGTCTTATTTGGTTAAAATGCCACTTGTGATTATACCGACGAACATAAACTGATGGACATCAGTGTTTATACGAGTGAACACTACATATATTATACACTGACAGTTACAAGAATAGAATGAATGCCTTCCTTGAGGACCTTTATTATGAAATCAGAAGAGCCCTACTAAATAACATTTTTCAGTCTGTCCATTTTTATTCTTAATATATTTCCCAACTAAGGTTTAAATTACGTGCAGTGTTGAAATACGCGCATTTCCACGTGTGTTATTGTCAAAATACGTCGCACAAATCCCATGCCGAATGAAGAAAGTAGAAAAATCAAAATGAATCCATAAATTCTCTTTGTCATTATTAACGTCTGTGATCTTGATGATTGTCAAAAGTATAGATGAAAACTTTGTTATAAACGTTTGAACAGATCTTAGATTATACATTTTATTGCACTTATGAAAAATCAAGAAGCATTCCTAGTCTCTGCCAATCCCTCTCTCTCTATTTCTCTCTCACTCTTTCTATCACTATCTCTCCGTCTTTCTCTCTATCTATATATCTCTTTCTCTCTCTATCTATATATCTATCTATAACACTATCTCTCTATATACAGTGTAACCCGGAAATAAAAGACCCGGATATAAGAGAAACCCGGATATAAGAGAGATTTTATTTGGTCCCAAATTAGAGCCTGTGTTAATGTATATAAAATAAACCAAACCCGGATATAAGAGAAACCCGGATGTAAGAGACTTCTTCTCCGGTCCCGACAACTCTCTTATATCCGGGTTACACTGTATATATTTTATAAAGGTCTTCAAAAGTTGGTATAGATTATATATTGTACCAGTATTATAACAGTGGTTCTAGGACTCAGTTAATGCTAGAATCCATTAATCATTTGTTACATTTTTCATTATAATGCAGTTGATATTTTTCAATAAATAATATTAATGATAATAATAAATGCTTTGCAAGTAAAGTGGTAATTTAATGGCCGAGAAGCACAAATGTATCTTGAAACATTAAAGGAAGACATTATTATTGATATGTTTGTATAATCAATAATCAGTATGATACATTTTGTTTCATTACACTGTGCCTACTTTTATACACACCCATATATATATATATATATATATATATATAAGGGAAAACTCTTTAGAGATATATTTCATGCCCTCCCCTAGTTACAAACCCAGGCTCCTTATATAAACGAGACGTCACTTTTAGGAGATTTGTACATTCTCCCCGACTGCTATGTAAATTAAATTCAAAACCCCTGATTCTGAGACAGTAAGTCTAGGGCTGGAGAAGACTGGCATAAGATTGTACCGGTTTGAAATAGACTATAACCACATGAAGTAATTTTTGAACTTTTGCTATATATATATATATATATATATATATATATATATATATATTTACTAATTTAAAAATACGTTTCCATCGCTACACTGGAGTTACCATGTTTCAAAAACAGAAACGAAAACTTCAAATTCAATTATAGAATTAAATTAAAGTCCCTAGTACCTGTTTCATTTTCAAGCGAATTCTGGAATAACTTATTTTGAAATTTACTGAGTTTTATAAGCACATACAATCATAATATTAGTTTCTAAGGATACGGGGAAATCCAAACATTTTAACAAAGGGCGGTAGTGTATTCATTTTCATTGATAACTATTGTATCAAAATATGGATTGCTTTTCTATATTATTCTTAATTTTAATTACTAATAGACTATACTTATTTTAAAACAAATAAATGTAATAGAACTACCTAAATTATTTTAAAATTATTATTAAATATCAAATATAAATATTTATATTTCATTTCAGCTTTTTCCTTTTTTTATTAAACATTATTTAAGGAAAATTTTTGACAATGTCGGCAAAGAATAGCTATTTCATTTCTTTAAGTAAATTTTTATTTTTTATAAATATATAGTTTCTCATGTATGCCCAAAGGACATGGGTCATTTAATAACCTAGATATTCTAGTCTTTCTTATTAATTTTCATTTCAGTAGGTGTTTTATTGGTTTCTTCTTTACGTGCTAGAAATATTTCGATAGGGAGGTCTGATTTCGGTATTTATTTATTCTAAAAAAATTTGATGCTGTTTGAATCGCATCTTGAACTCATGTATTGTGCATCCAATGTAGACTTTTACGTTGTCTGGATCCTCAATAGATGAGATATTGCATTGGTACGCTAATGATTCAGTATGAGATTAATTATTAAGAGGAAAGTTAAGATTTCTGCAGTTATATATGTTTTGTTTATCTTAATCTCTTTTTATTATTATACTGTATAAATATATTTGGTCTTGGTCTAAGTGTTTATTTAAGATATTAACATTATGTTTCTTAATATTTTTTCTAAGTTCTCAGTACAACTGTAACTTCATTTTGGGGTATCTTTTTTTTTTTACTGAAAATAGCACTGAGTTTACTATCTTCAGGAAAATGTTTAACGATGAATGCAAGGAATTTTTTCCTAATTTGTTCTTTACCAGTTGCTTTTATGGGGCTGTATACAAAATTATTTTTCTATTTCTGTTTTTTCTATGCTTTCCATTTTCATTTTTGATGTAAGATAGTTTTGGTCTTTTGTAGCCACTATCTTTTAGAGTTTTATTATAGAAATTAATATGTTCAATATGTTTTCTGATTTGCTGATTTTGTACTTTTCGATAGACAATGATATATGCTTAATTACAGATGGAGGATGATTAGATTTAGAGCGTATATACAAAGGATTAGTAGTGGGTTTTTATAAGGTATGTATACACCTTTCATTAAATCTAATGTTATATCAAGGAAATTCACCTTTTTCAATTTAGTGCTTACAGTATATTTTAAGTTCAGACATTTAAATTCTTTATACAATATCTTTCTAAGTTTATCGATTTTAAAATCTGTAGAGTTGTTTATAAGCATAAGACCATCGTATCTGTATAATTCAACATCAGTTATATTAATTTCACGATATGCTGTGAGATTGTATAATATGAAACGACCTATAAGGTCAGAAGACTCAGCTGAGTCTAGTGATTCCATTGCGATGTCAAAGTGGTCATGAGAATTTTTTATCCATTGCTGAACTAAATAAACCATAGTTTGATTTTATCGGAAATTCACATTTTTAATAACCACAAATATATACATATTTAATATTGCACAGTTTGTATTGGTGGTAATAAACAACGAGGGAATGCGTATATATATCTTACTTTTGTTTTTAATCCATGTTTTACTTAGTTTATAATATATATATATATAATGTATTGGAGCAGCAGATCATTATTAAAACATATATTAGTAAATATAAAAGAGAATGAATTTCTATTATATCTGATCATGAGCCGTTCTAATGTTCGGATGTTTGTTTTAATTTCGGGTGAAAAGTGGCTATACAGACATGAAACAAAGATATCCACCGTCAAAGATAGTATTTTGTTATTTTGACCTAGAAAATCTAGACATTGTTTCTGTTGTAATACTTTGGACAAAGGAGTGGTATGACGTCATAACCGCACCTTGAACTTACGATCTGCGTCTGCTATTCCGCCACCGTTGTCGCATAGCAATTTTCTACGTCAAAATAATAAAATTTTCTGTATATTTATATATATATATATATATATATATATATATATATATATATATATATATATATATATTAAGTTTATAAATATTACTATTTTCATTTTACAACGGTCAGTTTTCAATCTTTTCTGATGATTGCCAGTTCTCGGAATCGGTGAAGAACAAAATGTATATTTATTATTAATACACACACACACACACACACATATATATATGTATATATATATATATATATACCTTGAAATGAATGAAAATTCAGAATTTGGAATTAAAACATTATATACACTTCCAATATAGTGTATTGATCGGTTATAAAAAAAATAGTATAGAAAATAAAGTCATTGAAAACCGTACAGGTTAGACGTAGTGTACTTTTTTCGAACGTTGGAAACTAGTCATGTTGTTAGCTAGCGACCACATATCTCGAAATTCCTCTCCATGCCATAATGACGTCAAATTAGTTCAGATATATCTAAAATATCATCTGTAAAATAAATTCTTTAAGTATAAAAGAAAAGATGTTTTCATCTGACTCTAAATTCTGTCGCTATAAATTCACAAAGATCTTTACTAAATCGTAAAAGTCACTTGAAGACCGTCAACAGCTACAACATGAGAGATTTGCGACAGATTTATGTAGAAGAAAAAATAATGATATAATCATGGTATTGGCTTTCCAAACAACACAATTCAAATGGTTTGGAATGAAACTCGCATCAATACTAGGAATAGCCCGAAAAGAAGTCTTGAATATTCTAATTTCTAAAAAATGTTTAATGGAAACTAAATCTTCGCTGAATATTTCTTGTATGGAAAGATTAACTTAACTATTAGTATCACCGTATCAGTCAGATGAATGCGCAGCCGAAGAATAATCACATCAATATATTGTGAAACTTCTGTTTCTCAGTTCGCCGATTCAACCATCCAGCCAAACCCTGTGCTGCTGGTCGTTAGCAGCAATGATATTTGCACTGGATTCAATCAATTCCTCGATGTGTGCGCCAACAACGTAACATGAATTTCGGAGCAACCGATGTGGCTTCTTTGACACCGCTTCGTTTGCGATTGTAATGCCTCTTCTAAATGCTTCAGCAGCAATTCTGTTAAAGAAATTAGTACCAATCAAGTAGCATCTCACGACAAAAGCATTTAGCTTCGAATTGGGGGAACGAAAAAAAAGTCACCGTCTCTTTCGCTTTTGAAACACTCGAATATATATAGCCTTGTATGTAACACTGAGCAACATCTTGACATTTTAATAAAGACTTCCATCTCTCTTATATATATGTGTGTGTGTGTGTGTGTAGTGAATGTAATTTTATTAAATTTAATCGGTAAGTCTGTTCGTTTAATTTTTGTATCTTTACAATTTCTTAATAAGATATTGCATATCCGGATACAAAATTGTGGATAACCTCTTCAAAGTTCATACTCTTCTTTCAAGCACTTTCGAACGCATCGCTAATTATAAAAATGCTAAGATGTAGCTAACAAAACTTTAACTCTTGATAATAATTCTGAAGAGACATTATCGCCTACGTACTGAAAGGACTTGAAAGATATGGGAAGCAATTCTCTTTGCATGAATATTGCTACCGTTCTTCTCTTTTTTAATGAGGGGCCATAGATATTAACAAATCGATGAGCCTAGGGAACGATCCTATTGCTTGGTTGTTGTTTTTGAGTATTTTGGGGTATGGTGAGCGATAGACAACTTTAATATTGACTCATTTTAATTCTTTTTTTATTGATTTATGAATACTTGTCAAAAATGAACGGACAGAAATAAATACGAACAAGTAGAAATATAATTACATGTCCTCTCTAAAAATACATGTACGTATGTGGGATTATACATGACTATGAGGAAATAAATGTATCTGTATGTAAATGTGTAACTAATACAAATGCACGCACACATCGATCAACATATGCACATGCTTAAAATAATATATATATATATATATATATATATATA